CAGGCACTCCAAAAGGAAGAATATTTATTTTTAGGATGACTTTGACAGAATATGCATTTTCACTGGCAGCAAATGACTTCCTCTAGGACCAGATGATTTCAGTTTTAAGACTGCCCATGTTAACAGGTCCTGAATTGGACCTTGTGTATAATTTAATAAGCCACTTTTTAAGGCTTCATTCAGAAAAAGGGATTTGAGTAAAACTGTCAGGCCCTTAGATGATGGCTCAGTATTCTCTCCTGTGTGACCATCTTGGCTGGCGATGGTTTCCCTCTGGCTGGATGCCAGAGAGGGGACTGCTTTTGGCAGCCGGGCTTTGTTTCTTAAATCCGTTATTTAATGCAGGTGAGGATCCTTATGGGTCATTCTTCTTTTAATTAACAGAGCCAGGAAAATGTTACTTGAAACATGGAATTCCTTGCAGGTGGGCTTCAATAAGAAGAGAAAAGCTTCTTGTTCTGTTTGCATTTCCCAGCTAATTGCTGTGATCTCGTACACAGCTGGTATTGCTTTGGGAGAGAATTTTTGCCCGAGAAACGTGTTTCTGTGAATTGAGTATTAATTTGTGAAGGGCCTCTTGTAATGTCAAATGTAACAGATGTATACATACCGCCAATTTTGTAATTTCTAGTATAATAATTTGCCGTAATTATTGAGGAATCAGTTTGAACTATTAAACAATGTCCACCGTCAGCAAATGGAGCATGTTAATGGTCATGACTCACCATAGTTATTTTTTAAAGTTAAGATTAGATCTCATCTGGGGGCATGTGGGTGGCTCAGTCAGTTAAGCATCCGACTTTGGCTCAGGTCATGATCTCGTGGTTTGTGAGTTCAAGCCCCGCATTGGGCTCTCTGCTGTAAGTATAGAACCTTCTTCAGATCCTCTGTCTCCCTCTCTCTGCCCCTCCCCTGCTTGCTCTTTCTCTCTCTCAAAATAAATAAATGCATATTAAAAAAAAAAAAAGATTAGATCTCATCTAATGGAAAATCCAAAAGGAACTGAAACATGTATCTTCTGGCCTTAACTGCTGTTGTTCAATGAAAGAGATCATAAGGCAATTAAAAATGTTTTCCAGTAATATGATAGAGCCATAATCCATTCATTTGAGATGTGAGAAAGATTACCACCATTTGGTAGTGGGCTTGTGCAAACACACACGCCAATGGCCTCAAAATAACTATAAAGTCAGAAAGAGGGAAGGATGACAAAGTGCAGAATGGAAGAAATAAAAAAGAAGAAGCCAAGATAGGAACAAAGGAAACACATCTACTCAATGTGTTTGTCCCGTAGGATGATGTTGTCTCAGCCTGCCAGGGACTTTCCCAGTTTCAGCACTTAAAAGTCTTGCATCCTGGAAACCCCACAGTCCCAGCCCAACTGGGGTGGGTGGACACCCTGTTGTCAAGGCAAGGACTTGGCCTGATGTACCGCTTTGTTCCCAGAACTAGTTCAGTGCCTAGCACGTGTTGGGTCCTCATAAAGAAATGTTAATTGCTGTCCTTTACATCTGTTGTGGTTGCATTGGAGTCGCCTCTCTGCAGCGAGGGGTTCGAAGAGATCATGAAGACTTTTGTAAGGAAGGTAGAAGAGAAGCGACCACCCCACCCCCCCATCTTTAGGAATGTCTTCTGCTACAGAATTGCAGGCTTGTGAGTTAGTAATGGGATAATCAAAGGGGTAAGGAGACCTCTGATCATTCCAACAGAGTCCAAGGGAAAAGACTCACAAGGAAGAATTCATCAATGGCAAAAAAGTTGAAAAGCAACAGGTACTGAAGAAAAAGCCTATTTGGTTTCTGCAGAGGTCCTATGCAACCTTTGAGAAGGCAATCTGAGTTGATGGGTGGAATGTAAAGCAGACAGCAGGGGGTCTACGGGGCAGGCGAGAAGGTGGTGTCAGTGAGTGTTGAAATCACCAGCTCATATAATTTGTTGGAAGAAATGGGAGGAAGATAGTTCTTCTAGAGAAGGGACAGGGAAATGACGGCCCATTGGCTGAATCTGGCAGACTGCCTGCTTTGTAAATACAGTTTTGTTGTAAAACAGCCACACCCATTTGCGTGTTGTCCGAGGGTTGAGTCGTCGTCACAGCAGAGACTGGCTCACAAAACGTAAGATATTTACTATCTGGCCCCCAGCAGAAGAAATTTATTCACCCTCTGCTCTGGAGGATAAGAGAATGGAGGAAGTTTTGTAGGGGTTTTTTGGTTGTTTTTTTTTTTTGTCTGTTGTTTGCTTTTTTCAGTAGAGGAGATCAAAGGCTATTTGTGGATGCCTCATGGGGCTGGAAAAGAAAGAGCTTGTTAGGTATCTGCTGCTGTGTAGCAGGTTACCCCAAACTTAATGATTTAAAAAAACCAAACAAAACAAACATTCAGTCTCTCAGTTTCTGTGGGTCAGGAATTTGGGAGTGTCTTCTGGGTGGTTCTGGCTCCAGGTTTCAGTCATGCCAGCCAGGACTGCAGTCATGAAGGCTTGATGTGGCTATAGGCTGTTGACACGGAGGCCTTGGTTCCACATCTCATTACGCGGGCCCCTCCGTAGAGCTGCCTGAATGTCAGCACAACATGGCAGCTGACCTTCTCCCAACGCGAGGGATCCCAGAGAGCAAGAAAGACTCCGGGGTGCCTTTTTTGACCTTTCCTTGGAAGTCACATATTATTTTTTGCCATATTCTATTTGTTGCACAGACAGACTTCTACGCATTAGGGGATAGCACTGATAAGAGCTTGAACACCAGGAGGCAGGGATCCTTGGGGGCCTTGTTGGAGGCCGGCTGCCACAGGGACAGAAAGTGGCCCTGAAGTGTTCTTGAGGAGAAGGTACAGAACGAAGGGCACTTTTACTGGCGAGGATGTAGAAGCCTGTAGTGAACAGATTGTGGAGAGTCTGAGGTACAGAGAAATTTTGAGCCAGCAAGGGGGAAATTCATTCAATAAAATAATTACCAACTGTGCTGGGGGATCAATAGTCTCTCTGTTCAGTTAGAGATAAGTTACCAAGATTCTGCTCAGACTGGAGATCTTGGGGACAAGGAATGAGTTGGAGCAGAGTAAAGTATCATGGGGAATCCAGTGGTGATTTCATTACTAGATTGTACACGCCCTGAAGGCGAGGCTTCTATTTTACGTATGAATAAGTAAATTTTATATATTAAAAATATCTTTATAACCTTCATAGTCTCTAATACAGGGCCTTACCTATAGGTGCCTGATTATCGTTTGCCTTTCTTGCAGTGTCATTATCTTCCTCCTTACTTCAAATAAATTGGCAAAATTTGTATTCTGATTTTTAGAATCAAGGTTTTGCACTTCCTCCTATGCCGTCAGGAAAGCTGTGAAACTTAAGTTTGTGGAGCATTCTCCTTAGACTGCTTTTTGCATCTGTTGGAGAAAGAGCCTCCCAGGTTCCGGCTTGGAAGTTGTGGGAGGTGTGCAAGGGGCCCAGCTCTTCTTGTTGATGACCCGATGCCGTGGCCTCAGCTGCTGTTTTGTTCCATCTGGCAATGTCGAGGCCAAATTCTGTTTGGTATGCCTTACAGAGTACAATTAGACATGGAGAAAATGTTACCTGAAATATGATTCTAGAGATTCTGCCAGGAGCTCTTGCACTCAGGTCTGTGATGGGTCTCAGCTGGGTTCAGTGCAAGATTGTTTTTTTTCTTTTTTAAACAACAGATCTTCTGCTGTGGTTGGACAAAATATATATGAAGATGACTAGATCGGACAGATGTTTGGTCTATTTTTACATTTCTGTGGGAAGAAATGTCAAGAAGCTATTTCTTAACTGAAATCTCTCAGTGCAATTTTAGTATTTTGTTTTTTATTCCCTCCTGTGAACAATTTTTAGAAATGATACGCTTTATTATAGAATCCTCCAGTCCTTGGCTGCATGAATGGCTTCTGGTGGCAGTTAACTCTTCTCGACACGGGTCTCACACGCTTCCTCAGCAGCTGGCTTTAACAAAGGAGGAATTACTTTGCTTAATGTGTCTTTTGATTCCCTGGTTTCAAATAACGCTTTTACTCCTGTGGATTTATTTATTTTTTTTTTATCCCTCGCTGTTATCTCTCTTCTTGGAGTTTCAGAACGTCCATTTTCCCTTTTTAAAATATTTATATGAAAAAAAAATTTTTAATGTTTATGTGAAGGTAATACCTGTGCACAGAAGGCTTTGGAAATACAGAAGGGCAACCTTTTCCTTTATTTTGGGCAAACCGTATATCGCCTCCAGTGGTAATGGCCAAGACCTACTAAGAGCTTACTACACAGCAGATACTCTGACAGTCTCAGAGAGTCTGCATCCTTCCATAGCAAAGTTGGGGAGATGAGACTCAAGCACCCTTAATCTATTCTTAAGACCTGAGAGAGTGATAACCAGAGAATATTCGGGGGAAAACCATTGGAATGGCCGACATATTCAGTCACATTTGTGTATGGCAAATTCTACAGTAGTTTTTATGTTCAAACAATCATAATGTCCACTTGCTAGCTAATAAGCACACTAACACCATGGCGTCTGCTCCAGGAGGCACTGTACAACCTTATTCTTAGACCTGGTCATCAGGCAGGGACTTGGCATTGTTCTTTGTGTGAGTCCGTTGGAGATGATTAGGAGAATATGGTTTCCTTCAGGGTGATTATATTTATTTCAGAAAAACACCTTATTTTATTTTCAGAAGGCACGGCAAAATCTGCTGTGGGGAATCGCATACACTTTTCAGTGAATACATTCTTCTCCATCTTGTTAATTCCTGTGTTTCAGTGTGAAAAAAGCACTATATTGTAGGTGGCTGGAGATAAAGGTAACACACGTTCTACTTCACTCAAAGGAACGTTGAAGGCAAGGCTAATCCCTGCTTGGAGGAATCTCCGAAAGCGAGAATAAACTATTTTTGGTGCCGCTCTGTGTCATGTTCCTCTTTACCACCCTTCCCCAACCCCATCCGCGGAGCTGTGGATTTGGATAACTAACCTAAACTTCTTTTTTTAGGTGCCCACTGACGGCAATGCTGGCTTGCTTGCGGAACCCCAGGTTGCCATGTTCTGTGGCAAGCTGAACATGCACATGAACGTGCAGAATGGGAAGTGGGAGTCCGATCCATCGGGGACCAAAACGTGCATCGGCACCAAGGAAGACATCTTGCAGTATTGCCAAGAAGTAAGTCCCTTCTGACAGCCAGCGATTCTTGTGGGATCACACGCGTTCGGTGTTTTTTTTTTTACTTTAACTTCTTAAAAATTTATGTTTTGTCTCTTGTGGTAACGATCTTGGTTCCTAATGATCCACTATACTATTTTTTTTAAGTTAATTTATTTTGAGAGAAAGAGACTGAAAGAGCGAGTGGGGGAGGAGCAGGGAGAGAGGGAGACAGAGGATCCCAAGCAGGCTCCGTGTTGTCAGCACAAAGCCCAATGCGGGGCTCCAACACATGAACCCTGGGATCATGTCCTGCGCTAAAAACAAGAGTTGGGTGCTTAACCAACTGAGCCACCCAGGCGCCCCTCACTATGCTAATATATTTACTTGCTTTGCCATATATAATATGTATAAATTTAAAAAAAAATTAGGATGTCAGGGGTGCCTGGGTGGCTCAGTCGGTTGGGTGTCCGACTTCGGCTCAGGTCACGATCTCCTGGTTTTTGAGTTCGAGCCCCACGTCGGGCTCTGTGCTGACAGCGCCGAGCCTGGAGCCTGCTTCT